CATAAGCCATTTGTATTTATTTAGGTTATGTAGATGCTTTGTATTCTTAGCTTAATGAATAACTAAATGTCATATTTGTTGACATTCTAAAAAGTATGCATTTCTCAACTTAAAAAATTTTAGATAACTTTTCATAATGTTGCTTCTCTGAGCTACACTTGTAAGTTGATACTTATGATTATGTGAAGTTTTTGTTAATTCACATGGCTCATTTTGTTGATTTTGATTTTACTACTGTCAATTAAATAACATATGTATCAACCAAAGAATGTTCCTAATTCAAGTCTAGCTGATAGCAATTTATTAGTTAATGGCTAGCATTTTGATTGTGGTGGTAGTGTAATAGATTCTTACATCTGATGCTTGTTTCTTGTTTTTTTGTTGAGGTTGCGGCATAGCCTAAAAGGTCAAATAGTGATTCTTCTTTTTCTATTACCGCTTAACAGGGATTGTTTTTTTTTATTCTCCAAACCAAATTTATGGCATTGTTTTTATTTGGTAAAGTGTAAATATTAGGTTGTTCAGTGGCTATCAAGATTAATTTTCCTCTCTGTGTTACTTATTTTGTTACCTTAGATTTAGTTGAAAGCTATTAAGCAAGGCATTTATAACTCAATCTAAAACTTAAGAAAAATGTTTCATACCATTGATTTTTACTTCATTGATTTATGGGTGTTAGGCTTCTAGCTTAAGGTGTACTTGTTATGACTTGGGGTGTAAGGGGTATGATTTGGGTGTAAAGGATATAGCTTAAATGCAAAATTTCTAGCTTAGGTGCAAGGGATCTAGTTTAGGGTGCAAAGCTTCTTGCCTAATCAGTTTCATGTAATTCATAGTTATTTTATGTAATTCAGAGGCACCGACAATGGTTTACATGTAATTCACTAGATATTACGTGTAAATTATTCCTTAGACATGCTCGCAAATTTTTTATATATTAATTTACATGTAATCTGTGGTCATTTTTATGTTATTTAGGAGCACTGACAGGGGCATGCTCTGTGTCTTTGATTTATATGTAATTCGTTAAAGATTACATGTAAATCATTTCTTAGTCATGTTCATAATTTTCTTCACATATTGACTTACATGTAATTCTTAATAGTTTTCATATAATTTTGAAGGATTAACGGGGGTGTTCTCTATCTGTTTGATTCACATGTAATCTATAATCATTTTCATGTAATTTTGAGAGATTGACAAGAGTTGCTCCCTGTATGTTTAATTTATATGTAATCCACTAGAAATTACATATAATTATCTATGTCAAAAGCCTCGCACCCAAAGTTAAAAGTCTCACACCCAAATCAGAAGCCTCATACCCTAAGTAAAACCCTTACACCCTTTAGTTGTTGAATTTATATGTAATTCTTGATGATTACATGTAATAAAGGGATTTTGAATTTTTCTAGCGACCCTTCACCTGCCGGCAAGCATGTTGTCAACTATTGGAACTCTAGCCGGAGGTTGTCGGATGTGCCTTTTTCTTAAATTTTTTTTAGTTAACATAGAAGGGTATTTTTATCATTTGATCAAATTATTTTATGAATAAAATAATTGGCTTGGCCCTTTCATGAACTTTGGTCCTTAGGTGCAATTTAGGTTTCAACCTAATTCTTTTTTTCTAATTTTCCCCATTTTCTTTTTTTTTTTTTTTCAGTCAGGATAGACACATTATATTATAATCTAGATGAAATCGGGCTGACTGAAACTAGGATAATTATGAACATCCCTAGGAGAACCGTTGCACGTGGAACAATCAAAAGGGACGAGTTAAAAAAAATAAAATAATAAACTACGTGTGCTGAAAAGCAAAACAAAATTGAAGTGTAGAAGCCGCGAGTAATATTAAAAAAAAAAAAAAGAACAACATTCCAAAATTACCCTGGATTGAAACCCTTAACGGGAGGAGAGAGAAGGAGAACGGACAAATTGAAGCCAATAGGTAAAGCCAATAATTTAATTAATTTAAATAAGCTTGAAAAAATTTAACATTAAACTTATTAAAATAATAATTTTTTAATATTCAGGTCTATTTAAGTTTTGGCTTAGTTCAAAAAACTTGAATAAAATTATTTTTTAAAAAAATAAAATAAAATAAATATTAATTAATTTTTATGTTTTAACTTATTTTATATTAAAATATCATGCTCCTTTCATTTAAAAATATAAGGTATTTTTAACTCAATCTTACTCTTTAACAAAATAGTTACTTACTTTTTAATTAACCCTATCTTTTTATATTTACCCTTATAAAATACCTTACAATAAATATAAAGTCATTCATCAATAGGAAAACTTTTAGAAAAAAAGCAATGATTACACCTCAAAAGATTAAAAATACCTTATATTTTTAAACATTCAATTCCTTAAAACATACTTTACATTTTTAAATGAAGGGAGTATATTTGAGTACGTTACAATGTATATTTTTTAAAAAATTAAAAATATTTATTTTTATTATTTTTAATCTATAAAATATCTCAAAATAATATTTAAGATACATATTAATATTAATTTTAAAATTTTAATATTTACATATATTTTAAAAAAATTTGAGTCTTTCATATGGATTATATTTTTTTATAAAATAAAACATTAATTTTAAAATAAAAGTAAATTAAAATTAATTTTAAAAATAAAAATGTAGATATTCAGGTCATTCAAAGCTCGAATAAATTTGAATCGACTTAAGTCATTCAAGCTTTTTAAAAAGTTTGAATTTTAATAAATCCAATCCACCCAGATTACCAACTCCGCCAATAGCCAATAGGGGAGGTTAAAGGGTACGAAGAGGAGGACACGCAAGAGGGTGGGGCTGGCCCATTCAATGGAGCGTCATTTAAAGATTTGCGAGTGATATACAAAACACATACCACTTTCCCATTGTGCTTCCCCACTTCTGTTTGTCGCCCAACTCAACGCCGCTTGCCTGCTTCTTAGTTCTTACTATCTATAGTAACTAGAAAATAGAAACACACTCACCCTAGAGGCTGCCACATTTCTTCATTACATGCTTTACCGGTAAACTTGCTTTTCACCCCTTTTTGCCTTTTCACTGTTCATTCTCAATGCCCCTATTTTGTTCCTTGTTTTTCCATTTAAAAAAAGAAAAAAAATCAAGAGAGAGACTGAGACCAACCAGGGTGTAACGGAACTAACGAAATGGGAAGCAACATGTAAATGTCATGGTGTTAACGTTGGCCTTGTTTGGTACAAAAGAATCAGAGAGTGGGGCTGACTAATACAAATTTTTGTATTTGGTACGTGGAATGAAAATTTTAGTTTCAAGCTCAATCCCACATAGGTGGGAATACTCAGTATCACTACTCAAAATAATCTCAGGATTGAATTTTTTAAGAACAAAATAACCTTGATGCATGTGATGATAGATCATCATTTTAGGTTCCTTTATCCTCTTCTGTAAGGGTGTTGATAGCCTCTCCATCTTCTTTGTTCTATTGTCCCAAATTCACAAACTCAAACTCTCCATCTTCTTCAATTCATCTTCAACAGATCCTGCGGCAACGATACGACAACTTCAATTCTAGGCTTGGACGTGAGCACAAACTACTCCGTTACCTTCAGTTCACCACTAGATTGATTCCGTTTTCTTGTTCCAAGTCCGGTGACGAGAGCATGGACGACTTAGGGTCTGTTTGTTTTTTATTTTTAAAAATAGTTTTTTGTTTTTGAAAACAAAAAAATATATAAAAATTGTTTTTTGTTTAAAACAAAAAATATAAAAATTTATTTAGATAAGTACTTTTCATTTAATTGTTTTCAAAACTGTTTTCATTTAAAAAAAAATAGAAACAGCTTTAAGTTGTTTTTATTTTATTTTTCTTGTTTTTAAGATACATTACATTTGATTGTTGAAAATTATAGTTACCTTGACTAATGTTTATTATTAATCACCATCATTAACTGCCTATGGCCATTATTATCAGTTCATTTTTTAAATTCTAAAACTGTTTTTTAAATAATATAACCAAACATGTTTTCATTTTATTTAATTTTAAAAATAATTTTAAAAATTATATTATAAAATAGTTTTTAAAAACAAAAAATGAAAACAGAAATCAAACAAGCTCTTAGTTTTCTTGTTTTCCAATCTTTCAGATCTAGCGACGCAAGCAAGACGACTCCATTTTCTTGTTCACATGTTTTGATCATTTTCTTGTCCATATGATTCAGTGGTCTTCAGTTGTTCGGTCTTCTCTTATTTCAATTTGATTTTAGGATGAAATTGATGGCTACAAGATTGTAGGAAGACGAGGATAACTGTGTTTCTTACCTGATTTTTGTTTGATTTGAGTCTTGAATTTTTTTTTTAAATCTTATAGCACACCAAACATGATTTTAAAACTTAATTATTTTCAGTTTCAGTCGTATTCCCAATTGTTGTAGTACTTGCCGTGCAAAGAATCATTGGTGTTGGGATTGTGGCTCGCCGCTGCATCTGTTATCCCTCACGCCTTGCGTCCTTCCCTTTTCCTTCTTCCTCCCTCCTCACTATTCTCCTCTCCCAAAATATCAGCCCTGTCCTCCCACATCCTCACACATCCACACGCCCAGTAGTCTTCGTCTCTACAATAATAAACTCATTTATTTATACTCACACGTTATCAGTACGTACACAATCATAACAATAATGCCGCCTTCTTTCAATTTCAAACACTTCAATATTAATAATGCTGCTGACGTCACGGGATAACCTATCGCTCTTTGCGAGGATCCCACTTATTTGACCTAATTTCTCGGACGTGTTTTTCTTCTTCGGGCAACGGGCTGCTTATTCACCAAAAAAACTGACTTTATTTCCACTAACTCCTACTTGACACCCCCACCTCCGGGTTTACTTTTATTCCTTATTGTTCTAAGATAAATAAATAAATAAAAGTTAATCTCACAGGTCTTCTCTCCCATATAGAGGGTGTTACGCACCAATACAATTTAAATACAAGATGTGATCAGATGTAGTTCTCATCGGCCATCCTCCATTTAAAAGATGCATGCCTCGACTTGTTGTTAACTAGGTAGACTCGTCAAGTGTGGGTGTCTCGTAGCTAGCCCTCTTATCAACCACATCCACATGACCCCCAAGCTTCGATCCATTGCGTATATAAGCCTTCGCTGATCTCCTTATCACCTCCCACCCTTCACATTCCCACTCTTCCACGTGTTTCCAATTAAATAATCTCTCACTATGCCCAAACCAACCACCACCGCAAACACGAGGACAGAGATATGGCGAGGTCGTATGATCTCAGCTCTACGAACCACACTGGCCTGCACCATAGTGGGCTGCACCTCCCTCTATGGCCCAGAGTCCCTCCGGCGCTACCTCCAATTCCCGGCGTACTCCTACTTGACCACGATTCTCATAGTGTCGGACGCAACGCTGGGCGACAGCCTGAGGGGTTGTTGGCACGTATTCTGTGCAATCCTGATGGCCATGATCCTGTCCATTGCTGGGCTGCAGTTGATAGGGCCGGCCAACCTGACGGTGCCGCTCGCCGCAGTGGCGGTGGCTGTGGGGTCGTTTGTGGTGGCGATGCCCGAGTCTACACACTTGATGAGCAAGAGGATAGCGTTTGGTCAGCTGGTGATTGTGTACGTGAAGGCAGTGATAGACGGAGCAGAGGCGGGAGTGATGGTGCATCCCATTCAAGTGGCTTCCAGCACATCCCTGGGAGCACTTGCCTCTGTACTGGCTATGTTGTTACCTTATCCTCATCTTGCATGCCACCAGGTATATTATATAACACCTTCCTCTCTTTTATTGTCGATTAATTCGGGTGTGTATATACATGTGCGTGCGCGAGCTTTAATTTTTTTGCCCTTACTCTGAAAGTAAAAAAATCACGTTTTACTTTTTCTACCCTTTAATTTTTTTGCCATCCTTCCATGAAAGAAACACATATATGTTACGTTCACAAAGAGTCAAGCCCGCGATGTTACGCTTAAATTAAAAAGTTATTCAATTAATGCAAGTGGGGCCCAAAGCCATAAGCGTTTTTCTTTACATACACGCACACAAAAAAGTTAAAATATATTTTTACCCTTATATCTTGGTTAAAGAAGCACTAGATATCCTATATTAATAAATAAAATATTTTTTAAATTATTTTTTAAAGTAACAAAAATTTTTCCTCTGCTAGTGTTCCATTAACGAAGGAGGATTTTCACTCCTTTAAAAAATAGTTTTAAAAAAAATTATTTCATTTATTTGTACAAGGTGTCCGGCACTTTTCAAAAAAAAGTATAGAGAAAAAAATATATTTTAACCCCCTATAATATGCAAATGATAATGATTCTTCACTGTTTGTAGGAACTTTTAGACATTATAATTTTTTATAAAATAACTAAAATACTCACAATTTAAAATTTGAAAAAATAAATATTGGTGATTACTTTAATTTAAAATTTAAACAATAATTATTTTTCTTCTGACAATAATCAAAATAGAACAATTAATTATAATTTTTCTTGTATAAATTTTTTATTTATTGAAGTTTTAAGTGTTATAAATATTTGTGACTACTTAAGTTCAAATAATAATGGAATAGAACAAGCAATTATAACCTTCCCTCTCATGCAAATTTTTTGTCAAGCGGAGGTTATAATTGCTTGTTATATTTTGGTTAATGCCAAAAGACAAATAATCATTGTTATATTTTGGTTAATGCCAAAAGACAAATAATCATTGTTAAAATTAAAGTGGTTGCTAATATTTACTTTTAAGTTAAAATATATTTTTGCTTTTATACTTTTCTTGAAGGAGCATTGGACACCCTGAATTAATAAGTGAGACATTTTTCATCCTAAATCATTTTAGATTGGAGCAAAAATTCTCTCCTCAGTGAGTGGAAAATGGTTCAAGGAAAAAATTGCCCATATTTCTCTCTCTCTCTCTCTCTCTATATATATATATATAACCTTGTCACAAATAAGAAGATAAATGTGTTGCCTTAATTGGCGGATTAACTCACTAGAATCTATTTGAGATGATCATTTTCCAAGTAAATCAGTAGTACAAATTTCATGTCGATGATATAAATATATGCCAGGTTTGAGATCTCTAATTAATTTTCATTATAATACCATACCTTTCTAATTTAATTTTTATTTTTCCTCTAATTATTAACTTCTACATAAAATAAAAGAGATCTTGACATCTAACTATGAAACAGTATAATTTTGTATTTTTTATCCGCATTTAACACATAATGGAACATTTTTCGATCCCATGCATTGTTCACTCTTCCTCAGAATCTTTTTACAGGGAAAAGCTCGAATACATTTGGAAAAGTAACATTTGATAAAACATTAGTTCATCATTAAACAAACATTAATATCCTATGTATAATGCGGCTTTTTGGGAAGTGACTTAGCAAAGCAACTTCTTGCGGAGATTGGGTGGGCATTGAAAAAGCCAAACCCTTGTCTCGTATTGCGCCTCCATCTGAATAGAGATTGGGGGAATCTGTCTCCGTCATTGAGTATGACGAGGAAGAAATCACTATTTGTTTGCTTTTGTTTTCGGGTTAAAGCTTCTATTTTCTGATTTATAACACCATAGGCCTTTCCAGTGCCACAGTGTCATTCGTTATCATTATAACAAGCACATCACTTATCAAGAACACGATCTTACGGAAAACAACAGGTCCGAAACAAACATCTCACCATCTTCCTTTTGTCGATTCCAGATACGGAATGTCTACAAATTATATGCTGCAAATGCCTCCGAGAGGCTGAATCACAACCTACAGGCCATTTCTACCTTGGACAACTCAACTGCTCTTGAACTGGTCACTAGAGCCAGGTCTCTCTCCCCAGTAGGATCCAAGCTTCTCCATTGCATCAGATTTAAACTGGTAACCTAGCTTCCACACATGAAATTACGTCCTTAATTAGGCAATTGATACTCGTGGCAGATACGCTAAAAATTTCGACTTTATGAACCGAACAGGACGGCATGCGTTGGGAAAGGCCTCGAGTGACGATCTTCAATCCAAATTGCGTGGAACCGGCAGAACGCCTGCAAGACATTGAATTACCATTAAGAGGAATGGAAATCGCTCTATCACACTGCTCTGCTTTTCCCGTTGAAGCCGTTGATCAGGAACTCAGAGGTGTTTTATTCGATTATAAGGCTCAGATCACTCAAAAATTAGACCAGCAAGCCAAGTGTTTTGCGTCGTCTGATGCAGCCACAGCTCCAGACAGGAAGAAAGAAATTTCTAACATTTTCTTAGGAACTCCAAAAAACCTTTGCAGGGCTTGTAAAGATCTTCCAACTTCTTTCTTCATGTACTGCGCAGAACTTCTCTTAAAAGATTCACACATTACAAAGAATGACCAGCCTGTGGTGGATAAAACCCAGAAAACTGATGCTGTTCAATGTAACTCATGGAAGATTCGAGATTTTGTGATGAACATGTTGCCCAGGAGTCAGAATTTGGCATTTGCAGTCAAGTGCTCGCTTTCATTAGGCCTTGCGGTATTATTTGGCTTGATATATAACAGAGAAAACGGGTACTGGTCAGGGCTCACCATTGCCATCAGCTTTGTCACAGAACGACAAGCCACTTTCTCAGTTGCTAATGCTCGAGGACAAGGAACGGCAATGGGATCAATCTATGGTATCCTTTGTTGCTTCCTGTTTGAAAGATCAGTGGATTTAAGGCTCTTGCCTCTTTTGCCGTGGGTTGTCTTCTCTTGTTTTCTAATGCATGGCAGGATGTATGGGCAAGCTGGTGGGATTTCAGCTGTTATAGGGGCTCTATTGATCCTCGGCAGGAAGCACTACGGCCCTCCTACTCAGTTTGCAATTGCTAGGATCACTGAAGCCACAATTGGGCTCATCTGTTTCATCACAGTCGAGATTCTTATGAACCCCTCAAGAGCAGCAGCACTGGCAAAATCTGAACTATCCCAATGCTTGAGATCGCTTCAGGATTGCATTGATGCCATAGCCATTTCCCCTGGTGAGAACCAGATCCCACTGTTACTTTCTCAGACATTGCGAGAAAGACGGAAGAAGCTGGAATCTTTTGTGAGTCAATTAGAAAAGTTCTCATCGGAGGCCAAGTCAGAGCCAAGTTTCTGGTTCCTGCCTTTCCATGGTGCTGGCTACAGCAGGTTGCTACAATCCTTATCAACGATGTTAGATCTCCTGCATTTTGTGGAATACTTGACAGAACATGTCCCACGATTGTCAGAGAAAGATGGAGTGAATTGGCGGGAGCTTCAAGATCAAATGGTACATAATATAGAGCTTTTCAAGGCTAAAGTTGGCCCTACACTGAGGCTGCTTGAGGAGATAACCAGGATCAAGTCACTCAGCCAATTTGAACAAATTTTAAAGTGTGAAAATATCCCCAGTGACGTTGAGTCAGGATATCCAAATGCTGACACATTCAAGATCTTGTGTGCAAGTGAAGACGCTGATAGCGCAACAGACTCTGTCCTCCAACAGCTAGGGGAGGCAGTTAAGATGATTCACACAAAAAAAGATGAACAGATACTTATAGGCCAAATAATTTTTCAATACAGCTGCTTGGGATTCTGCATCGTTAGCTTGATGAGAGAAACAATAAAGATTGAAAATGAGGTCAAACAACTACTTATTTGGGAGAACCCCTCCAGTCGTGTAAATTTCAATGAGATTTATTGTAAGATCAACGCTCTGCATTCAGAATAAACCTAGCTCCATGATTTGGAATTAGTCTAGAGAAGTGACTTCCCCTACTAATTAAGAGATCTCATGCACAAGAAAAACAAGTTCATCTGAATGTAAACCACGCCCCACCCACCCGGGGAAAAAGGGGGTGACCAAAAAAAAAAAAAACTTTAATAAATATGGCACTGGAGCTCCCGATTAAAAAGCAAGAACAGTGGTATGCTAATAGAATCTTTTTGAAAATTATAGCGGTAAAACGTCATTGACATTCCCTAGTTAAGTTCTCAACAGAGTCAACTAAAATCCATTAGTGAAACAATTCATTCTATATTCTACAAGGCTCGAAGCGTCCCTAGTTCCCATCAAACTTTGGGTCAGCCACGACATATGCTATCACCAGCACAAATATGAAGATGCCAAGAAAATTGGCAAAGAAACCCAATTCTTGATCATCATCTGTGTGACATATAAACCACACTTAAATCAATACCCCTGACCTGCAAAAGATGGTGCTGCAAACACAGGGTATAGAAAGATTAAGGATTTAAAGCGTTTGCAAACTTGCAGAGTTTGTATATATCAATGGCAAAAGGATCAAATTTAATTACACAAGTAATTACTATTATCAAACTAGGTTGCATTGGTAAAAGGGCTCAGCATACATTATGAACAGCACAACTTAAATTGTTCCCACTTATCTTTCTACTTTCGAGTCAGCCACAGCAAAATCGCTTGCAATCACCGGCACAAATATGGGAAAAGAGAAAAGAAACAAAAAAAGGAACTTCTCAATCTCCTTGCTCAGTACGCAGTCCCCGAGATAATATGGTTCACTTTTTCTTTTTTTATCCAAATCATGTAACAAAAATTCTTGCTTTCTACTCGGTCCGATAGGCAACCGTCGGAGCAATAAAAATCAGATCCTTCACAAAAATAATATCAGTTGCTAAAGATACTGATATTTGGGGACATTTGCTGTGGTCGTAAAGAATGAAAGTAATAAAAATCAGATCCTTCACAAAGCAGAATATATAAACAGAAAACTGTGCACGATCCCCGCCAGTAGAAGCACTTTAGGAACGAAAAATATCTACTTTAGTCGAATCCAATTACAGGGACAGAATAAAAAGTTATAATCCAAAATTGAAAATAAACTCACCGTCGGGCTGTGAAAATCTCCACCGTCTGAGTTCCGACAGGGCTCGGGCGAGGGTTGTGGCACAGGTTGCAGTTTTGTGCTTCGCAGTCAACCTCCGCTTGATTGGTTCATGGGACCCAGGCATCGTGGAAACCGAACTGAAGGTGGATGGCTAACGGTGGCCGGCGGTGGTTTAAGAAATTGAAAATTCCATTGCTGGTTTTTCTCATGTTACTGTTGACGGCTAACAGCGGTGGCTGATTGGGTTGAGGCTAGGCTTTTGTCAGAAGAGAATACTGGTAATTATGAAAAATCGGAATTAGCCAAATTTCAACAACCCTGTTGTGAAAGAAGTCATTGAATCAAATTAATAAGTTCAAGTTAAAATTAAATTTTAAAATTTAAGAAAATAAAACTAAAGTCTTAAAAAAATACTTAATTGGAATATGAGTGAAAAGTATATTAATAATATTATTAATATATTGTGATATGATTAACTATAGATTAGTTGTTATTTAGCACTAATAAAGCTTTGAAAAACTTTAAAAGTTGTTGTAACTTCAAGAGTAACTTGTGACCTTTTAAAAGTTGAAATGATCGAGAAAAATTATTTTATACTTTTATGTATTAATTAATTATTTTTGTTTGTAAAACAAATGAGTGTGCATGTGTGTGTATTCAAATCTTAAAATTATTATTTGTAATGCATATTTAGCCTTGTTGAGATCTTATAATTTGTTACTAAGTTAATTACGACACATGTAAAGAATTTTAGTATGATGGCCATACGTGGAGAAAAATAAATGACTAGGAAAGCGTGCTTGTAATGTGGATTGTTGATATTAATTTATGATCTCATGAGATAATATGACAAGATTTGAGTAATGAGATTGAGGATTGATGATGATGTACATATTGTGGATTATAAATTGTAGATTATACATGGTGATGGATTGTATATGAGCATGTTGAGTTTTTATATGATGCTAATATGAAAATTGATGCATGAGGCATGATTGAGATATGATGATTCTTGATATTTGTTGAGCAATAAAATCGATGAACATATGGGATAATTATAAACTACATATATGAGGATTATTGAAATGCATTTTCTCATGAATATGATCATGTAATGGGAGTTTGTCTTAGTGAAGGAGCTAGCGATTGTGCAAAATCCATATAATATTTGACTATTAACGAATAATCTTTAGGGTTATAGTCGCTGCTTACTTTACAGGGTACTGTATCATTGTTTTTATTAAGAGATTTAACCCTATTGGCCTACCTAGAGTTTTGGGTGAGTTAATATTATGTATGACACTCCATAGTGTGTGATTTGGGAAAAAATGTGTCCATAAGTGAGTAAGGTAACTTTGGTTCAATAGTCTCTCATGATGTGATTAAGGCCTTAAGCAGCCTCACCACATGGACGATTCCTTCTAATTGTTGGCCCACAGATTTTATATCGAAGGAAGTAAAGAGGATATAAAGAAGAGGTTAATCATGAATTTCATTATTGTTATGATATTTGAGTAATTGCTGACCATTTTTAAGATTATGATTGTAATTGTGAAAATAAGAACATGTGGTAAATATGTGAAAAATGTATATGTGGGTACTTATGCCAATTTTGTTCAAACATTTTGTACTCGTAGGTCATAGTGCTAATTTTATACTTGACTTTATTTTTAAATTTATTCACACGAGTTAGATGTTAATGTGATTAACATGATCTTGATATGATTGTTTACATTGTTATTTTGATAAAATTATTAGCCACTTATATTCATGATTAGTTATCATGTATTTGTATAACTTAAATATATCTTGGTTATTGTTTAGTTGTACCCACCCCTCTTCTTTAACATATTACATGAGCTAGTTTATTTAGGAAGAATGGAGGAAAGGAATACCGGGCCAAGTGATAATAATCACTTCTGTAGGCCTTCATTTTTTTTATTTTGACACGTGTATTTAGTTTATAATATTGGCAACCATAACAATATATTTTTGATTCATTTGCATTATGGGTTTTATATTTGGGGGAAGTATATTTTGAGCCTTTGAGAATGTAATTTGGTGCTTGTATTTATATTAAGGGGTCAAAATATTTGTGCAACTAAAAATAGTTATAATATGCATGATTTAAAAACTGAAATATTACTATAGTCTCCCTTTGTATTTTTAATGTCTAAGGGTGAAAAATTGATATTAACTATATATGAATGAAAAGAGAATTTCATGCTAGTGATGAACTATTGACGAATAGATGATATATGTAGAGTGTGATGATTAAGTAATAATCATTATAATAAATGTAATTAAGACTTTAGGCCCTTCTTGCCAGTCATAGAAGGGTTTGAGTGGTTAAGTGTTATATTGATAAATATATATTATGTAGAGTGGAGCACAGAGAGAAAATAATGGGGAAGTTTTCTCTCATCTTGAGATGTATTTTTTAATCATGTTTATGCACAAGTTTACTTGAATAATGTCAGATTTTGAAATATTTTAAAGACTTGAAATTCTTTTATTTTAAATAGTTTGTGAAAATGCATGTTAATAACTTGTTTAGGTTAATCTCTATAAGATAACCCTTTTGAGTTGGTCATTGATTAATCATGATTGATGTGATGATTTAAGTCCTAATTTAAGGCACCATTTACAATTCAACATGGTGGGAGTTGCTTTGTTCTATTTTTTTTAAATTTCAAATAGGATTTGAAGGTTATTATAAAACATGGAACATGGTTGCTTCAAGGTTTTTCTTTATTAGTTCATCTATGGAAGGCTAATTTACCGATTGTAAGAGTCTTCTTTAGTGAGTTTTCTGTTTGAATTTAAATTTTTGATCAGCCGCTTGACTATTACATCGAAGATTGTCAAGTTCTGTTCTTAATAATGGTCTTCAGTTTCAAGTTCTTTTATTTGAATACTTAGAGGCTTCTAAGTTTCGTTAGTTGCAGTTACAAAATGGAGAGATAGTTAAGATTTCTTTCATGTTGGAACATGTTGGCTAATTCTGTTCAAGGTGCTTCATCATTGGTCATATTTCTCAACACTGTTCCAAGTCAGTTAGTAATTTTTCACCAACTCTATTCAAGATGCGTGCAAGTGGACACACCTCTATACACTTGATTTTTTATGGTTGTAGGTGTGTTTTCTAAAAAGGGAGTAAAGGCATTATTCTAGAACCTAAGTATGCTCTCCCTCGAGTTTGATATTTTGCATAGACATTGTTTTACTTCTAATACTTTGTTATTGCACAGAGGATTGCATAATGAGAACATGGTGGCCTCTTCTGGTGGTTCCACAAGTGTCAACATGCATAGGGCTTCAAGTTTTTCTTGCTGTAAAAAGAGAAAAGCGTTAGATTTCACGGATGGCTTAGATATGCTTCGAATTACAAGATCTAAATCATGTCTAGAAACTCAATTTCCACTATTTGATAATAATTCTCAGTGTGAGTCACATGTGTTTCTTTCTCAAAATTATTAACATTTATCAGCTCACTCATCTTAATAATAGGACACATCTTCACTGAATAAGAGTCATTTTCATCAATTCTGACGTCATTTTATGATGGTGCAAGTTTCACTTCTACCTCATTAGGATTTCACTTCATATATGTTTTTACTACCTATACTCATACTTATTATTGGAGTAATACTTTGATTGAGCTGTTGGTGTTTCATAGTCTATAGCATAAGGGATATGTCAAAGTAATGCCTGTGGTAGGCCACATTTTTTATGACTTTCTGTATGTTACTGACTTGGATGGTGGTCATCCAAACCTTTCTCATGTTGGCCAAAATGGGTTCCTCCCCAATTCATGTCGTCATCACAATGTTGTTATGCTATCTCCTACTTTTTATTTGACATCAACCAAATCATCCTTACATAAGCTTAGGTTCATATCAACTACTTTACTAGTCTCTGCCTCTTCAGCATCTCTGCTTCTGAAATGCACATGTTTACAATGCCAAAACAGGGTCACATCATCTGTCTAGGTTTAATGGGGTTTTAGCCAAAAATCCCCGTTTGGTTGGGTGACTTTGTGGGGGACCTTTATGGATAGTAGTCTTATAGAGGTCTATCTACGTGTGCTACTGGTTTTTGGAAGCCGTTTTGGTGTTTGGCTTTTATGTTTCTTTAAGGTCCCATTTAGTAGCTTGGAATTATGGAGAAAGAAATGGAATTAGACATGAAATCTATTAACATGTGTGTTTGGTATGCAATAATTATGATTTTTTGGAATTTGGGTTCAAGAAAATTTGGCAGAATTAAATTCCATCACGTGCATCATGGAATCCGATTCCATGGTTCCCTTTCTCCAGTCTGTCCCTTCTCCCTCCTCCATGAGTTCCTTCTTCCTCCTCCACGAACTATCTCCTTCTCAATGCAGAAGCATCGCTCTTCTTCCTTGTCTTCATCTCCTTCCTTTAGCGACAGATGGTTTCTTCCTCTTCCAATATCACCAACAACTATGTATTCCCTTTCATCTAGATATGTCGATGACCACTACTCGCTTAAAGAGGACAACCACAATCCACTGCAAATCCTAAGAAGGAAGGCCTAAAATCTTTGTCGAGCTTCTTAGTTCACACCTTTGTCACTGGTTTAGCAAGTCAATCATGACGCAGAGATGGATGAGGGCAGTGGGTGCACTGTCAAATAGGAACCAGTGGAGAGAGAAAGTTGAGAAGAAGAGAAAAGGAAGGGGCTCACGGCATCATGGCATGAACACTCACCATGCATTCTTATCGATAATGAAGGACCCATCATCGTTCGTGCATTCTCGTTGTCAATAAAGTGCCCATCATCTCTCTCTCTCTCTCTGTGAGTGCTCTTGGTTTGACGATGACGATGAAGAACCGAGCAGCAATGGACAGTGCAACAATCATCGTTGTCACCCTACTTGAAAGACATCATCACCTGCATCGATATCCTCCTCTCTTCTTCTTTGGTCTTCATCTTCTTATTCAGTCAGGTGTCGTTGGAGAAGAAGAAGAAAGCAGTGACGATGAACCATGAGAAGGCAGCAACAAACTGTAGGAAGGGGTCCTTGCCGGAGAAGAAGAAGAAGAAGAAGAAAGGGAGGGGGTCCTTGCCGGCGCAATAACGGACGGTGGTAAGGATGCTCATTGGATGAGGAGGAAGTGACGTGATGCAGAAGGAGAGGAATGGGACTGTTGGCTGATAGGGATAATTTTTTTAAAATTATAAAAAGGGCACTTTGGTCTTTTCTTATTTTAAGTACATATATTTTATTAAAATTATATCAGGATTCCATCATCATACCAAATACACTTTTTAATCCAATTCTATTCCAATTCCGATTCCAATTCCAATTTCATTAAAAACTCTTTCATCGTACCCAACACAGTCTAAGTTTTTTTTGGTCTCTATTGGTTTTTTTCTTTCTTTGTTAGTTTTGTACTTTGATCCTTTCTTGTTTTGTTTTCATCAGTGTAGATATTTATCTCAAAAGGCCAAAGCTGTTTTGTCTTTGGCAACTCAAATCCTACGGGATCCCTTTTCAAATTTTGATTTCCAATTTCAAAGGAAATCAACTTGTTCAATGGCTCGTGGTACTTTTACCTTTTCTCAATGGACCAATTTTTTTTTCAAAATTGGTTTCTTATCTCGCATGTGCGAGCTTTAAAAATTATTATTTACATGCTCAAAAATATTGTAAGGAGGGCAAATCTTTGTTTTTTCTTGTGCTCGTTCTTTGTTCTATTTTTGGCTGTCTTTCTTTTTATTTTCATTTGCAGTTTGCCAGACTCTTTCTTGGGCTTTAGGTTTTTGTTCTAAAAGCCCACATCTTTGCAATCATTTTACCTTTTTTCTTTAGTATATATATATATATATATATATTGACTTATAAGAAACGCATTTGGTGCTACCTAGAATTGATGAGCACAACCTTCATGGATGATTTCATTTCTCTTTAAATGATCTATGTCAATAATTTAAAATTATTGTTTAAATATTTTTATACCATATTTATTTAAATAAAAATATATAAAAATTATAATATTAAATATATATTATTTTTTATGCTTATTAGAGGATAAATATCATGGTATTTATCATTCTTGATAAGATTTGAATACTCCAAATTTATTTTTTTTACTTTTATTTTATATTTATTAAAATTAAAAATATATAAAAAATATAGACATATTTGATAAATTTATTTATCACTAATTTGACTAGTACAGATTTAATTTAGATGACCTAATTTAATATTATTTTTAATAATTATTACAAATTAACTATTTAGGGATACTTTAAATAGTATCAATATAATTTAAAAATTTTAATTTAATATTAAAAAATTTAAAATTTAAAGTAATTGATCATTTTGATATATTCTGTATAATGCATATTTAATATTATAATATAATTTTTATTTTTAAAAATATAATATAAAAATATTTAAAAATAATTTAAGGTTTGCGATAGGAATCATTTGAAAGAAAATGTTGGTCTAGATCACCCCAAGGTGATGAATGCGGTTCCCTTGACCATGTGAGTATAGCCACGTCAGGGATCCGGAACAACGAGCCGTGCAAAATTAAAAGAACAGACATCATCACCGTCAAATGACCACAGTCGAGGGTCGAGATCTAACCAATGGAGATGACGCGGATTGTTACTTGCTGCGGTCTCTGACGGTCTAATCCAACAGCCCCAAATCGCTCAAGTCATTTGGGAACCCCCAAAGGGGCGTCTCCATATAAATCCTGTCCCCGCACTTGTAGCTTCTGAGTTAGTGCCTGGCATTAACGTTGTTCTGCGTTCGGGTATTCGGGAGGGAAAGATGTCGGGTCGTGGAAAGGGAGGGAAGGGACTGGGCAAAGGAGGAGCCAAGAGGCACAGGAAAGTGCTGCGTGACAACATTCAGGGTATCACGAAGCCTGCGATTCGGCGTCTGGCCAGACGAGGTGGAGTCAAGAGGATCAGCGGCCTCATCTACGAGGAGACTCGTGGTGTCTTGAAGATTTTCCTCGAGAATGTCATTCGTGATGCTGTTACCTACACGGAGCACGCTCGCAGGAAGACGGTCACGGCCATGGATGTCGTCTACGCGCTTAAGAGGCAGGGAAGGACTCTCTATGGTTTTGGTGGTTGATTTCCCCTGTGCTTAGGGTTTTCTTGTGTATTATTGGCTGGTATTGTAAATGATGTCCGAATTGGGTGTTGTTCTCTGTTCTCTGTCCCTGGATTTGTTGTCACTCTTCAACAAGATTTGTCTGGAATTTACTTTTAATTCAATAGCAGTTGTTAAGAGATTAAGAAATTTAGATTCCTCATTCGTTATCTCGTTCTGGAATTCGAGTATTAAATTCCTTGACTAGCATTTCGCAGGACGCTTTGCAATTTTTAAATTGTTCCTTTTGTTGATTGATTTCATCGGTATGATGGTGGCTAACAACTTCACAGTTTCTTCTAACGAACGATTGCTTCTTTGTGGTATCTGACAATCAACGTATTTTGGATTCGTGTTTTCCCTACCAATTATGTGGCCAGGATATTGCAGTATCTTAGTATCAACTCTATTAAAACCACCTGTAACTCCAGAGAAGAAAGAGAAAATATAACACCAAGGGAAAATATATTGAATATTGAATGTGTGTACATCCCTTATATAGTGGTTCTGATGATTATAGCTTAACTAAGACACGCGTGGACAAAACACAACAGAATGTTAAACTGATATAACAGCTTCTTAACTGATTAACCAACTAACCACTATCACTATACTAATACATACTAATATGTCTGATGTTTATGTGCATATGTAGAATGTTAAATATAAGATTATAGATGATTTTTCAGACTGTAGTGCATGATGAAACTTAAAAGGGAATAGAAGTGTCATGAATGCGATCATTGCAAAATAACTTAGTCATCATCGAGGGGAAAGAATTGCCAGTTCAGAGATTTAAGAGACAATAGTTTGAGGGAACCAGGGGCATTTTGCTTTTGAAATGATATTGAACGGTAACCGACATGGTCTCCAAGAGTTGCGATAAAAGGGGGATTAAAATTGAAGGGAAGTGAGAAAAACCAAATTTCCTTGTGGAATTCGTAGAAGATGGAAAAGTCACACCTATCTGGTGATATTTTTTTAAATTTTGCCGAAGTCTCTTTCTCTCTGCGATTTGATTCATCTTGTTTGCAATGATGAGCCTGCAATACCGTCATGAAGCATCTCTTCACCCAGTTTTGTGTGGTTCTCAACTCAAGGTCCTAATATGAATTGCTGTACTCGGTTTCAGCTGTGGTAAGCGATTGCTTGATTCAAAGGTTTGAGTTGACTTCTTAAAATGCTTAGTTTAGACAAGCTGAGCGTTGTTGGCCAGAAAAAACTTGCTGAGCTTTGAAGGAAGCTTGTAGAAGTACAGTTTACCCCAGTCAGTTTCGGCCATATTCAAGTTTGTGATTGCACGGTGTTTAGCATAATACTGCAAGTTCTGGTCCTTTTTTTGGCCTTTTAGAACTCGAGAAACAAGTATCATCAATTGACAATTGGTAAACAATGGTGTACATTAGAATGGGGCTGGCACTTGCAAATAGGTTCTGTCTTCATGTCATTTTTAGTTTGGGCTTAAGCCCATAGACTTTGTTAAAACATTGTGAACTTACATTTGAACACAGTTGGGTTGATCGTCGGGCCGAATACAAAATCGTGCTTTTTTTTTTTTGGACCAGCGAACATACAACAAACCAAGTGTGACTTATTGCCCAAAAAAAAAAAAAAAAGAAACCAAGTGTGACCTAAACGGAAAATATTGAGAAAAATTAACATAATGTAATTCGAAAATTAAAATCATGTATCAATTTTTTTTTCATTCTTAATCTTAAGGAAAAATTTCATTGAAACTTTTGACCAATTTTATTTTCAATCAATCCTGTAAAATTTTAAAACATCAGTTTAGTTCCCGTAGATCCCATTTGGGCTAAATTAAAATTAAGTTTTTGAAAGAAATGACATAAATAACTCTAATCCCTTCAAATAAAAATAATTGATGTAAGAAAATAACAACTGATGTAAGAAAAATTTGTAACTTTCATTAATAGTATAACATCAATATGAATAAAAATAAGTGAAACTAGTTGCATGGATAACTAATATAAGAAAAAAGAATAATTAATTTATAAAAAATGAACAAGTAACGTTAGGGGAATTTGGAACTGTAATTAATAACATAACATTGATGTGAATATAAATAAATGAAGTTAGGTGTAAGAACAACTTGTGTAAGGAAAATGAATAAATGTTGTATAGAAAATAAACAATTGATATAAAAAATTGGGGTTATTTGTGTCATTTCTCTCAAAACTTAATTTGAGTTTAGCCCAAATGAAAGTAGAGAGATCAATTGATGATTCGAAATTTCTAAAGGCAGACTGAAATTTGATAGGAGAATTTATGAAATTTTCCCTAATGTCAATAGCAGCTTCTTAATTGAAATATGATAAATGTGTAATTTTTTAGGAAAAGGCATAGCAGGTACACTAGCATTTAGGAAATGCCCACAAAGCATAGTCCAATGTCTTGTTTTTCCAATATCGTATTTCATGATTCGTCTTGTCGCAGCATTTAGGAAATGTCTTTATTGGCTCAGCCAATAAAGATGACAAAATAATATCTATCCACTTGACATCGATGAATTTCTTGTCCATGGTCAGGAAAGTTCCCAGCTAGTTTAATAACATTTTTAAATCATGTGGTTAGGAACTAGTGAGAGTAGCTTGATGTTAATCCAAATAAAGTTATACACTATGGTGCACTCTTTTGAAAACATCCTCTTTTGTTTTGTCCTCCCTTCATATTTTGATAGCTAATTTACATTTTTCTCGTCGTTGTACATAACTGTAATCGATTGCCTTATCGTTAACATCAAAGTCAACTACATCATTTATGAGTTTGTATTTCCACTCCGTCTATGATATGATCATCTAAATGCTGGAGGAATCCCAGAACTTCAGGATATGCGCGCGCGCACACGCACACACATTTATGATTTGTATATGGACATAACTTTAGAATAATAATAATAATAATAATAATAATGCCCATTTTCACCACGTCTGAACGATTTGGACTGGTTGGCTGCATTATGTAACTTTCTCGCAGATGCAGAATACGCATCCTTTTAACTAGGTTTATTTTAGCATCAAAATGCATAACGAAACCGCATCGAGGGGGCAAGGCTCAGTTAATTTCAACGAACACGTCTTCAACTACGTGACATTTTGACTGATTCACTTATTTTAATCCCGTGGATTGATGCAATAGATAGGGTGTGAAGCAGTTGGGATCACAATAGTTTACTAAACATAAACTCGATGCATGCATATGTAAATTACCCAAGTGGAGGGGGGATCTTGACGCAGCGTATTATAAAAATCATATCATGTATTCGATTCACTAGAGACTGTGATGGAGACAAAACTCGCAGTTATCTTTCCAGCATAATTAGAGTTTTGGTGATTCTGATATTGCTGTCTCGTTAGTGTAATTTCAGCGAATTCTACCTCTAGACAATGCATAATTACATATAGATATTAGTGTGGTAAGTTGCAAATGGGTTGGTGGTTGTATAAGATTCCTGAACCGCCCTTGGTGGGACATTTGTATTGGATGCGATCGATCGCAATTTGCTGCCAGAAACGTCTCGCTAATTTAATACTCACCAATACCCTGAAAAATAAATATGAAAGAGGGAGGGAGAGAGAGAGAATCTCATAGTCACGTTTTGATAGATGCGGATATGCGGTTGAAAGGCAAATAGCAAGCAGAGCAAGTGATTTATGTGAGCGTCAACTAATTATGATAGTGGGTTGACTATAAATATACAACTTTATCTATATTCAATTCATAATTATCACTGGAAAATGAAAGCTCGTGAAAAGCATCTTTTCTGGTTAAGCCTGTATCACGGACATGCGCCTCCCTCTTCTCCAATTCATACGGAGCACTATTTCATATACCGCTAAAAGTGATAAGAGTGTGTGTGTGTGTGTGTGTTCGGGGTGTCTCTCACACACACACACACTCTCTCTCTCGCACGTTTACACAGTGATTTTGAAGGCGAGAAGAGCAGGGACAGGGGCATGATCAAGATATAATTTTGACGTTTAAACTCAAGAAATATTGCCTAAACTTGGAATATTTTTTTAGTTGTTTTGTGCGAGGGGCCTTTGGCAACACAGATCCACGCACTTGAAAGTATGGGAGCTTGGATAAATCTGTTACAGGGACGGATAACTATTGTGAATAAGAAATAAAGTAATATATACATGCACAGGATTGAAGTTGTGAAATGTAATTATATTTTCCTGATCACCCAAAAGCGTAAGCACACGCGCGCACATACTTGGCTGCTCTTGGTAAGCCAATTGTGGTGCACATACATAGTTGCAATGTCCAGTGAATCACCTTTGAATTTGAATCTGAACCATCATGGGGGAACGTAACAGACGCCAAGTTAATTGCTACATTTGTGCTGTGTTGTCGATCATTACATGTCTGTCCACGTACCTCTCTGAAAAGTATTGTTCTTGTAATTATTCACCGATACCATTAGATTAATTGATGCATTAGTTGTCTGTATTGTGCATTAATACTGATCTCTTCCAATATATATAAGAAGTGACTGAGCGAGTCTGCATGTGAATCTCTCTTGCTATTTCTTTTTCTTTTTTTTTTTGAAGATTTTGTTAACGGGTGTGTTTTAAGAGTATAAATAGTGTGGCATAAAATTGAAAGTAATATTAATATTTCAAAAAAAAAGTAGAATGCCATTGTTATTTGTTTATATTATATAATCATCATTAATTACTTGGTTAACGAAGTAGCACTATTGAAAGTTAAAAATGATAAATTATAAAAACTAATGAGTTAATATACAATTTGAACCCTAATCTTTTAAAAAATTATATTTTGAATTTCGAATAATTAAAATTTGGATAATTTCATCTACACCATTAAATTTGAACAAACGTTTGTTAGTTTTTTAAAAATTAGGATCTATTTTGTGATTTTACTCAAATGAAGGTTGGAGAGAGAGGGACAGTGAAACTTGATGAAAATCACACATTAGATTTTAATTTTTTTAAAAAATTGATAGATATTTATTTAAATTTAATGGTAGGAATAAAATTGTTATAACTTTAACTATTTAGGATTCAGAACGTACTTTTTAAAAGTTTACAGTTTAAATTGTTCTGTTTAAAATTCAAATTGATATTAATCCAAAACTATTGATCAAACGAGAAAAGTCAAATATTGAAAGTTTGATAAAATTTTGGTTCGATACCTTTAATATGAAGAAGTAATACTGTTATTTTCTACATCTTAACATTAATGATCAGACATCGTTTCTTTCTCGTAATTTA